CAGCAACAACCGAAAAGCTCAGAGAGACGCAAAACGACCACAAACTGAAGCCGTGTGACGAAACGTGTCATTACAGGTCAGAGTAATGTTAGCTTAGCCTAGCCTAGCTTAGCTTAGCTTAGCCTAGCATGGTAGCTGCAGCATTGAAGCTAAGTCCCTTGTTCGACTGGATTCAAACGCGGTGGGTTTGTCGTGTTTTGGTGCGACGCATTGAGGAAGCCGGAGGAGGTTCACGTCTGCTGAAGCTCTGCAGAGCGTCTGGTGGGAGATCTGAGCGCCGACCCGCCGGCTCGCTATGAGTCACGCCGACATGAAGAGAAACCTCCAGTCTGACGCTTCAAACGAGTTCAAACGCGAACCGGCGCTGCTGCGGCGGCGGCGGATGTTCCCAGCGGACGTGAACGCAGCATCATCGGAGGCTTTGAACCCGTTCGCCCTCCCGGCTCTCCGAGGACTCCGGGCTCTGCAGAGCAGCATCTCCCCAGTCAGCTGGCCTACATAGAGCCTCGCTGAACTCCACCTGAACTCTGCTGCTGCTGCTTCACCTGCCAGAAGGCGAAGCTCCGGCTGCAGCGCCGCCGTCCTCCACCAGGCGGAGCCTCCGGCGGCAGGTAAGGCTACGGCATCGCTAGCTGTTAGCATCTGTGTTGGGTTTTGTTTCTTCTTCTGGCTGCGTTGAAGCCGTTTGTGTTGTTTTGTGTTGTTTTGTGTGTTGTTGTGGCCGTTTGTTACATTCGATATTTTTTTAGCCGTTTTGCGTCCTTTGTGTCTGTTTGTAGTCGTTTTGTTGCCCTTTGTGTTGGTTTCATCACTTCTGCGTCTCGTTTGTGTCTCTTTGTCGCGCTCGACCTTGTTGTCGTCTGGTTTTAGCCGTGTTGTGGGTTTTGTGGTTGTTCTGCGTCTCTGTTTCGTGGTTTTGTGGCTTCGTCGTCATGTTGAATCTGGCCGTTGGTTTTGTGTCCGTCTGTCGGTCGGGTCGTCGCTCGTTGTTGGTTTCGTGTCGTGTTGTCGTCATCATGCGTCTGCTTTGTGTTGTTTTGCGTCTTCGTGTCGGTTTGTTGCTCTCTGTGTTGAATCTGTTCCAACGGCGGGATTTTGGCCTTTCTGCTGTCGTTTGTTCATTTTTAGTCATTTTTGGCTTTTTGTTGGTTTTTTTTGGTCCGTTTTTAGTCGTTTTGTGTTTCTTTGTGGTTCTTCTTTCTTCTCATTGGTCACCTGACAGACGTTGAAGACGAGGAGGTGAAAAGAGAGAAAGACCTGAGAGAAGCAAAGGAGGTTCTTCTTCCTCTTCTTCTCCTCCTTCATCTCCGTCTTCGTTTCTTTCTCCTTCTTCTTCTGCATCCTCTTCTCACGCTCTCCCCCCTCCTTCTTTTCTTTTTCTCGTTCTTCTTTCCTCCTCTTCTCCTCCTCCTTCTTCTCCTTCTTCTTCTCTCTCCTCCTCCTCCTCCTCCTCTCTGACAGACGCCAGCTCCTCAGGCTGATTGATGATTGGTCCTTCAGGGAGCGCCGTCATCGTGTGATTGGCTCCCGACAGTTTGAGGAAACCCTCCTGCTGCTCGTCTACGGTTTCATCGAAGCGCCGGAGAGCGAGAGCATCGTCTGGTTCTGAAGGTTCTGAAGGTTCTGGTTCCACTGCCAGGTTCTGTAGATTCGCCTTGTGGTGGTGGTTGTGTGTCTCTTTGTGTTGGTTTTGCGTGTTTGTTGTCATGTTGCATCTTTTTTTTGTGTCTTTGCGGTTGTTTGTCTTTCTGCTCAGAGCTGCCTGACGTCCATTTCTAATGGTTTTCTGTCTCCAGTCGGCCTCGGGGCGTCGGTGTCGCAGCGCTTCCAGCTGTTTTCCATCCATCCTGTCAGCCGAGGACTTTCTGCCCGGAGGTCTCTGATGGTGGAAGATGGATCTGCTGAAGCTCTGAGGTGGAGCCGGAGGAGCCGGTGGAGGAAGCTGGATGTTTCCACACCTGTCTGTGGCTTCACCTTCTGACGGAGGAGTTATTCCCCAAACTGCGATCTGCGGGATTAGATTCCCGCCCGGCAGCAGCTGCTTCCCGTCAACACTTGACAAGTTCGTTAGCGGCACCGAGCGGCGCCGAATAAACGTGAGATGAGGAGGAAGATGTGCTCAGCAGCTGCTTCTGATGCCACGTCTTCACATCTTCAGCTGCTTTCAGGGACTTTAAGGTTTGAAGGACGCTGTTAGCTGATAGCTGTTAGCTGTTAGCGGCTAACGTTGAATGTCGGTCTGATGAAAAGGGGTTTTCTGTGAGCAGGCGGTGGAGACCAAACTCGGAGCTCAAAGAGGAGGTCCAGCCACCGATGTCTTGTCTGGCTCGGTTTGATCTGGTCATGCTGACGATAACTTCTCCTCGTGTCGGACGGTTTTGGAGGTTTTCAGGTTCAGAGGATTAAACTGAAACAAATCCAGGAGAGAAAAAGAAACACAAAGAATATAAAAGGACAAAACACCTTTAAAAACAAATGACCAGTAAAACTTTTTCTTTTTGACATTTGTTGTTTTTCTGGACAAGTTTTGCGTCAGTCTGAGGATTTTTTTTGTTCTGGACGGGTTTCAAGTCATTTTTAATGTAATTTTGGACATTTATTGTTATTTTACTAATAAATGTCCATTTATTTGGACTTTTTCTTGTCATCTTTGACCATTTTCAGTCATTTTGGAATTTATTTTGCTCATTTATTGACAAATTTTAAGTAATTTGTAAATTTTTCTTTCATTTTAAACGATTCTTAACTCATTCTGGACGTATTTTAAGCATTCAGGAAAAGTTTAACTTCATTTTTGGACAATTTAAGCATCATTTGGTACATTTCTCCTCCTCGTGGACCCATTGTGAGTCGCAGTGTTTGCAGGAGAAGCTGCAGGTTGTTCATCACGTACTTCCTCCTGCAGTCGGAGGAGGCTGAGGATTTATCTGCCGGGGGTTTGGCCGGACGCTCTGGGGGGCTGAGGACCGGAGAACAAAGCGCCGCTCGCTGATGTTCCTCATAAATAAACGGGAGCTAAAAGGTCTGAGCTCATTGTTCAGTCTGACAACAACACAGCCGAAGCTTCCTGCTCCGCTCCAGAACCCAGATGTTCCCAACATCTGCCGGTTTCCAGTGAAGCTGCAAAAGTCGGAATCAAACAACTGCAAATGTTCCTGATTCCAGAAAGAAGGTTCAGGTCCAGAAGTTCTGACGCACAAACAAGGTTTCATTACAACGAGACCACAACGTTATAAAAAGGATGATCTGGTGTAAACACGCAAAACCGGTTTAAAGTCAACGTGTAAATCAAAAAACACGGTTTTATTTTTATTAACACAATAAGGGAAACTTTTTAAAGCCTTCATGTCCAGTTTTTCTTTCAAACAACCACAAAGTTCTGTCAAAAAGTTTTGGCTGATTTACAGTTAAAAAAAAAAAAAAGAGCTGTAAAACAAGAAATTACTGTAAAAATACAGATTTTAATGTGATTATTTCAGTTTTTTATCCCGTTAACGTGTCGTTTGTTCTGTTGTTTTACTAGTTTTATCTGTAATCTGACAAATCAGGTGAAGTCTGTAAAACAAAAGCTGAAAACATGATTTTACATTTTCAGATCCTTAATATACAGAATTTTAAAAAATAATTAACTACAAGCATCTGTTAAATAACGAGTTTGTCGATTTAAATTCAATAAAACTGATTTTATGCTCAAAGCTGTAAAATAAGAAACTAAAACTGTAGAAATGCAGATTTTTGTCGACGTTATTTCTGATTTTTAAACCTTTTTTTGTTTGATTTTTTTAACAGTCAACATGTAAATTAAGACTTTTTGTTTTTTACAATTTTAACAAAACAGATAAAATCTATAAAATATTATTATTCAGTCCTTAATATACGTTTTTCTTTCAAAAAAAACAGCAAATATCTGTATTTCTTTAAAATGTTTTGCTTATTTACATTTTCAGTGTCATTTTACAGTAAAAGTTGTAAAAGAACAAATGATTATTTTTCTAAATACAGACTTTTTATTTTTTATTATTCTGTTATTTTAATATTATTTTATTTGTTCTAACAGCGAACATTTTTAATCGATGACTTATTTTACCAGATATTATCTGTGATTTAATAAAACAGCACAGCGTTAATAAAAACTGTTCATTCTGGACGTCAGAAGGTTTGACTGAAGTCCAAGCTGTGGCCCGTGGACCCCGGACAGGACGGGTTTGAAACGTGTCGGCAGCAGAACCTGAAGGTTTTCATGCAGCCGGACCTTTCCCTCTTCATACAGACCTGCTCAGACTTGGTGGATCTGGACCCGACTCGTTTCCGTAGCTTCGTGTCATCGAGTCGTTCTAAATGTGCCGACCCGAACTTTCTTCACGTCCTGGAACCTGAACCAGCTTCATGATCCAGACTCTCCTGCATGAAGCTTTCTGTCGCCTCGAGTCCAAACGGGTTTCTGATGAGAGCCTGACCGCTTCATGTCCAGGCGAGTGCTGCCCCCTGCTGGACAGGCTGAGAAGGAGCTCAAACCAAACCAGTAGAATGTAAACTGATGGTTTTTAAGCTCATATCAGAGTAATCAGATTACTGTGGGGTGACAGAGTAATCAGATTACTGTGGGGTGACGGGAACCTCCTGTTTTTCACAACAAACAGGATTCAGTTTGTAATCCTGTCGGATGTGAACTTGTTCTCGTATCTGCTGCCTCTTCGCTCCGAGTGTTGCTGCTGTGAAGACCAATAAGTCTTCTGAGGTCACCAGGAAGCCCACAGGCTGCTGTCGGCGCCATCATCACTGCTGCTTCACCGTCCTTCAGCGCTTTCTAGCACTGCTTCAGATGTCCAAGGTTTCAGGATTAATCGGCTTCATTTTGGCTGATGTCCAGTGAAACAGCAGACGGCTTAAAGGAACCAGAGGACCAGGTGGTTCAGCTTCAAACCCGATGTTCAGAACTCATGTTTACATCAAAAACATCTCAAATCATCTGAAGTCACACACGAGACGGACTCACCAGGTCATGACCACAGCTTCAGCTTTTATTGAACTGACAGAAAGTGAACAAAGACGAAGCGTTGAAGGCACTTGGACTAAAATCAGAGTTCAAACACAGACTGAGTCCTTCGACGTCGTCACATCAGAACAGGTTAAAAACACTCGGACACGTTGTGGAATCAGAGGAGCATCAGAGGAGCATCAGAGGAGCCAGCTGGAGGAGGAGCCAGCTGGAGGAGGAGCGGCGGCTGGAAACCAAACTCGAGACGCGACAAAATACAATCCTGACCTGAATCCTGAATCTGATCCCAAATGAAATCTTGAATAAAATCATAAATTGAATCCTGACTTAAATCCTGAACTGAATCCGGACTTGAATCAGATTCGACGTCCGTAACGACGTTCAAGTGAATCAGAAGCAAACTTTTAAAATGATAAGAAGATAAAATGCCGACGAGGTTCTGTGAGATTCTCCCCTTTAAAGTGACTGACTGGACTCAGCAGCCGGTCGGTACCAGAAGTCGGTACCTGGATCATCTGAGGCCAGTGGCTGGAGGATAAGGACTCCCTGACCCGATGGTCCCGGTAGGGGAGAATGTTGTCTAAAACTCACAAACCCGACGACTCCAGCTCAGCAGAACTTTCATCAGAAGCGGTACCTCTGTTTTTGTCCCCAGGTTCCGTGTGTTGCTATGCTATCATGTTACACGTGATCCGTTTCACTTATTTACCTCCTTCTGAACGCACAACCATGTCAAGTCCAGAACCCGTGCCGTGGTCTCCTCCCAGAGCGACCAGCTGCTGATTCCACCTCCGTGCCCGGCTCACAGCTTGGCCTTGGCCTGGAAGAAGCTCATGACGGCGTTGAAGCACTCGTCGGACACCCAGCGCTCCATCAGAAGCTCCACCTCGGCGTCGTTGACGGCGTGCAAGCGCTCCTTCTCCACGGACCGGATCAGCTGTTTGGACAGCGCCAGGGACTGGCAGACGGACAGACAGGTCGGTTACGGCTCACAGTCCAAGTCTACACACTTTAAGTCCTTCTGGACCCGTCCAAAATGACCAGAAGCCAAGTCAACGTGGACACACTTCAAGGCTTTCTGGACCGTTTTGGAGCTCCAGGTCATTCTGGACACAGTTGTAGTCAGAGTGAAAACGTTTCAGGTCATTTTGGACTGTTCTTACGTTACAGGTCATACTGGAGAGGACTCGACACACTTCAGTCCCTCTGGTCACACAGGACAGAGTCTGATTATGTAGTCCAGGGTTTCATGTAACTCTGAACAAAGTCGGAGTCACTTTTAAGAAGTCTCGGTTCTGTTGGAGCAGTTTCAACAGACGACGGTTAAATCCTCTCGTGTCAGTTCCACGTCACGCTGGACAGAGTTTGATTATTTTGTTTAGTTTCAAGTGACTTTGGACAAACTTTAAGTTATTATGAAGACGTTTCAGGTCATTCTGGACAATTTATGAGTCAAAACTGAAACTATCTGGGACAACTTTCAGCTTATTTAGGTCAAGGCACATTTTTAACAAGGTTTGAGGATCAGGTCTGAGTCGCCGTGGATACGGTCTGAGTCGCCGTGGATACGGTCTGAGTCGCCGTGGATACGGTCTGAGTGCTGTTGGACTTGCTGAGTCGTCCTGGGCAGGTTTATGTCATTTAGGACCAGTTCTGACACATTCTGGACAAACTAAGTCATTTTAGTTTATATTTGATTCTGGGACTATTTTGGACTCTCTTCCTCGTGTTGGACTATCTCAGTAGTTGATCTCAGTAGTTTCTTTCGTGGCACAGAGACCTGAATGCTTCAGAACCGTGTGCTGGATGTGCTCTACGCTGTCTTGGGCCTCACACAGGTGGAATGGAACCAGGTGAGCAGTCTGGAAGTCTAACCCTGACGTGAGCAGATGTCTGTTTGTTTGTGACGGACCAGCTTTGTCCTTTTGGACCTTCTCCGAGTCTTCTTGGACAGACTCGGAACCGTTCTGGGCTCGTTCTGAGACATTTTAGGTGAACTTTAAGTCATGTCTGTCCATTTATTTTTCACAGTGGAGCCGTGGTGGAGGCAGGCGGACTGAGTGATGTGTGTGGGCTCACATTGGGGGGCAGCTGGGCGTAGGCCTTCAGTCTGGTCCACACCTCCGACTGGAAGCTGCTGTCGGGGAAGACCTCGGTGACGAGTCCCAGCTCGGAGGCCTGAGCAGCCGTCAGCTTCTTGTTGAACAGCAGCATCTCGGTGGCCTGGACACAGAGACAGAGCTTCAGCAGGACGTCTCCACCAGAACCAAACCAATCGGATCAGGACAGCTAAAGTGCGTCTAAGTTTCAAGTCATTATGGACAAATCTAGTTTGAACACGTTTGGACTCATTTTGGACAAAATTAAAATGATCCAGGACAACTTTAGCTTCGTTTGCGTCAGCTCCAAGCTGTTTAGGGAACATTTTAAGTCACGCTGGACAAGTCTGACGTTACTGTCAACAAAATTAAACTCATTTTATACAAGTTTGAAGTATTTTAGACAAATTCCAGGTCATTTTGTACATTTCTAACTCATGTTGGACGGATTTTCTGTTATTTTAGGTGGAGTTTGGAGTTATTTTCGACAGACTTGGCTAAATGTGGACAAACCCTCAGTTATTTTGGATAAATTTAACTCATTAGGGGTCATTTTAAAGTTATTTTTTCAATTTAAAGTCACTTTGGGCCAATTTAACTAATTTTGGAACCATTTAAAGTTCAACCCATCAAGTCGTTTTGGAATAAATCTGTTTAGGTTTTAAGGTACAGAGGACAGATATCTCATCATTTAGATTTTTTAAAAAATCATTTTAAGTCAATTTGAACAAATTTCTACCTATTTTGGACAAATGAAGACATTGTGTACGGACTCTGGACCACCGTCATGAAGCACGTCCCAGTAAGTCCGCTAAAGACCGACTAACTCAGAGAAAAGCAGGAAATGCTCACGTTGGAGAAGCAGCTTTGAAACCTCTGATTCCAAAGCGGACTGATAGTCGATGTTACTTACGTCAGTGGAGCTGCTGTTCTCTACGTCCTGATTAATCGGACTGAGCGGCTAAGAGCTTAGAGAAGAACCGAACCCAGCAGCGTGAAGATGACTGCTGGCTGCGGTGCCGTTTCTCGTGGTACCTTGGTGGCGCCCATGATCTTGGGGAAGGTGAAGGAGGAGCAGCCCTCAGCGCTCTGGCCCAGCTGGCTGAACGGAGTGTGGAACGTGGCCTGGAACACACAGGGAACCTCCTGGTTAATGTACTGGACTCACCTCAGCCCGCCAACATCAGAACCAAACACATCGGACTCTCCAACACGAACAAGAAACCAGACTTCAGTTCTGTTCTGAGCAAACAACGGCTGAGCCTCAGGAGATACGCTGATGTGGAACCAACCA